TCACTGTATAAATGCATATAAGAAAATGTCTTTGTGCGTTAAGTTTACCAAAAAATCAGTATGCGTCTGCTCACAACCCAGTCGGGTGACAATGGTAAATCCAGCATACTACCCCTTGACTTTCTGTGGTGACGTGCTGTATGACTGTACCAATGCTGTGCTTTGGTTATCCATTTATGCGGAAATGTTCCCCGATCATCAATCGCGTACTTTATTTCTAGATATTGTCCGCTACGTTTTTGTCTCAATCATGGAGGAGCATGATGCCGACATTCCCTCCTCCTTCCCTACTAGGTGCTGTTAAACGTCGATTTACCACAGATGAGTGGGAAACATATGATCCCATATTGAATAGTTTACATAACAGCCTTGTCGCCTTTGCAAAATATTTCCTCAACAGAGGAACTTAGAAACTAAAAACGAAACGCGAAACTGGTTGTGTATCACTTGAGTTAATATGACAGTTATGACCAGTGAATATACCAGTCGACTGTACAGCGCGTTCGCCCTCCAGTGTGTGCAGCAGCCACCTTGGATACAATTGTAAGCGATACCAATATAAAGATGCAGACACGAAAACGACGTGTATGCGTGACTGTACTTCTTTGGCTGTTGACAATCAAGGTAGGTACATCTCCCAAAATGATACTTCTCCCAAAATGGCCTAATTACCAGTTAACTCCATGGACTAGTCAGGTGCCCCAAGTCAGATATGAATTTCTATCCTGCTGTGAATATATTCTTCTTGTGAAACATTTACTGATATGCTAAGCCTTTATGATAATCTGTTCAGGTGTACTTTTTGCTCGTGCCATACTTTCAAGTTCTTTCTTTAACTGAGTTAATACTTCAACAATACACCAATTTGTGCCAGTTTCTTTTGACATAAATGAAGTTTATACAATATTCATACGTGGAACTTCTTTCATTACACTTCTTCAAATATACGCAAGTAAGTTTATCATATCAGCATAAGACAGTTATGTTCCAAAGCTTGGCGCAAACTGATAATCACATTGGTATTAACCCATGAAGATGCGAGTTAGAATTGATCTTCAGTAACCCATGCTTGTCGCGAGTTACTTGGTTGACACCTGTCATCGATTCCCAATTGCGTAGATCAGTGCTCATGATGTTGATCACTGGATTGTGTGGTCCAGACGCGTATATTTACAGACCGCTGCCATGTAGCTGTAATATTGCCGAGTCCGGCGTTAAACAATCAATAACATTGGTATAACCATATTGCATAAGTACCAGTTTCAGTGTTAGTCAATGATGACTCAAAGTGTCACCAAATAGTGTCATAGAACACGTCTAGATACACATGGACGAAAGCATGAATAGTCAATATTGTTCTCCTTGGATATATCACCATCTCCGTTGGCAACATGTGAGAAAATATTGTTAGATTCAATCCCGCTTTGAGTATTCTTTTATAACATTAGTTATCAGCTTAATGTGTGAGGCGACAGAAAGCTTTCCACTTCCGTAGGGAATGTCTGATAAAAGCAGAGTCTATTATCATGAGTATGTGTTTGTTTGACGCCACATTCAGCAGTGTTACATCTGTACAACCTGGTCTGTAAACAACCGAGTCTGGACCAGACAATGGAGTTAAAGACACTATGAGAAATGATGACTGACAGGCGCGTAGGAAGCCATTTTTTTCGTGTAAGCCAAATAGGTTGCAAAGCTTCATAATTAATATTGAGTGCTTGCCCGGGCTTTTTTTCATAATGGTAGCTACGCCCCTGACTGAGCATGTGTTTATGAATCAAATAGTTATGATATCAGGTGTTTGTGAGGAATGCCTGAAGTGATGCAGATCAGTTATCTTATCTTTAACTGTCTATACATGACGATCACGGGTTTCAACAAGGTTACCGAATACACCTTCCACAAATATATTAATAGCCGAATTGAAATTGTACTGGCCCGAGACCACTTTATTGCGCCAGGGACAAGTAGTGATTATAGTCCTCAATGGCCTGTAAATCTTTAGGACTAAAAATGTGACACAGTGTTTGCCATCAACCGGAAAATGATAAAACTGACAGGGAATGAATGGAAACCTGGAAAGCTCCATGTGATGTTATGCGACACCATCATTATGAAGTGAGAATCTCTATAAAAGGCATTTCCTTCTCACATCCGAGAGCATATCTTTGTACAAAAGGCATCCCGTGTATTTCCGGCTGTCCACCCATGCCCCACACGATTACCGCTTTATTAAAATAACAGTGAAATAAAGTTTCTTCTAATCCTTTGAACTAGTCGCGAAGAAACTGAAATTCTGATGCCACTAAATAATGGGCACTAGGTGATTAAACGATGGTAAACGTGATTATTAGTGTGTGATCACATCTGTCATGTTTATCGCTCATGTCCATCACTGGTATCTGTGGTCCAGACTCAATTATTCACAGGTTATTGCAAAATAGACGGACCATTGGTGAGTGTAGCGAGAAACGGCTCTCAATTACTGTTTGTTAACATCTATCTTCATCATTTACAGCATGTGAAGACTGACGGTAAACTGGACATTCGATTCATCAGTTACTCGTCGGATGGCAAGGTATTCCGTGGGCACCGTTGTGACAGAAATCTTCGATTGTATTACGTTGATAAGTGCGATCCAATGTTTACCCTGTGCATTGATGGGTAGGTACAATTAAAACGTTTATTGTTCAGTTCCTGCCAGTTTTGTATTTGTAGGCTGGTGTATCTCGTTAAAAGAAATGATTTGGGCCCCTGCTGCTTGTAATATATAGAGGTTAATTTAATGTTGTTCTCTTCATCCTTATTTGAAAGTATGTGTGTATTTCCATTATGTTTTGGAGTGTAACCCCGTATTAGTAATATAAGTATGCCGACGTTATTAATGACTTTTACAATCGCCTTCATTGTGTTTGTCACGTATTTCTTTCTTTGCGACCCTTGGGGCGCCATTTGGTGTAGATATTTGAAGCTATTTATCAAAATAATGAATTTCTACCTTCAATACATCATTGGTTTTAAGTCATTCTGGCTACATATGCAGGGATAAAAAATTGTGTGTTTTCAATGTAGTGCTTTGTTACCTATAGATTTGATGGTGTAATACAATATGCACATATTATTCCAGCCCTGAAGGAAGAAAGCCGTGCTCTGTTTACAAGAGGACTACAAACTACATAAACAACCAAAACATAATTCACTTTGGAAGCAGCATTCAAGGAACTGCAAATCCTTTCATCATACCAGTGGACAATGCAGTACCGGTAGGACTATTATCTCAATCTATATTTCACACTGATTGGTACATGTCATAAGTAACCAAAACCATTGACATGAAGCCTGAACCGTCCCCGTTATTGTTGATAACCAGCCAACACAGTTTTCGTCAAATCATTCCACTCAGCTAAGTTTCGCCATGACAACAGGTCATTGCATCCTGATGGTGACTCTGGGCATGAACGTCTGGTTTGTCTAGTCCAGCCTCGATTATTTACAAGTAATAACTTCGATGTTTGATAACAGACAAGTAAAAAGTAAATCGGTAAGTGTGTCTTTTCATTGATTCAGCTATACCTTACTAACTTAAACTAAACAGATGGTATGCATTGTCTTTTATTCAGTCCTCGATAAAAATAACGGTGGAGGTGTATGACAAAGATGACACTTCCAGTGATGACCACATGGACACCCTGTCCAAGCTGATCAACATCCGAGCTGCTGCTACAGAACAGACAGCTATGTACAACTCATACACATTGTCGAGGAAGACGACGTGAGTCAGATTAAAACATATCTGTGATGATTCCAGAGAGTTAGGTTGGAGGGCTGGAACAAAACAAGATGGGATATTCTTTCATGTTCTTTGTTCATAAATACTTCAAAATAATGAGTTTACTTCAAAACATTGTGATGTGAATGATCATCGGTCTCGCACCAACATAATGCCAATGTAAGCTTTTGACCAGCATTCAAGGTTTACATGTAATAATTGCTTGATCAGGGTGCGCAAGGCACTCAAAGTGAAAACTGTTTTTGTTTTGTTTGTTTGTCGTTTAACGCCTCACTCAGCAATATTCCAGCTATGTGGCGGTGGTCTGTAAATGATCGAATCTGGAGTCTCTCCATCCGGTCCCGTTAGTCGCCTCTTAAGTGACAAATGTAGAGTAAATTGTTTTCAACGTTAAGGATTGACTGTCATAGTGTGTGTTTGTTTGTCTTTTAACGCTGCACTTAGCAATATTCCAGCTATGTGGCGGTAGTCTGTAAATAATCGAATCTGGAGTCTCTCCACCCGGTCCCGTTAGTCGCATCTTAAGTGAAAAATGTAGAGTAAATTATTTTCAACATTAAGGATTGACTGTCATAGTGTGTGTTTGTTTGTCTTTTAACGCTGCACTCAGCTATATTCCAGCTATGTGGCGGTAGTCTGTAAAGCATCAAGACAATCCACAGAACCAGTGATCAACAGCATGGGGATCGATCTAAGCAAATGGGATACGATGACATGTGTCAACCAAGCAGGAAGCCTAACCACCTGATCATATATTTCTCCTCAAAAGTAAAAAATGCAGAGTGAATTATTTTCCAGGTTAAAGATTGAGGTCCGTGCCTACTGTGACCCGGACTGGTACGGATCGACGTGTGAGAAATATTGCAAGGCCACTCCTGACCACAGTCACTACACTTGCCACACACACACAGGAGCTAAAATGTGCTTTGAAGGTATGCTCAGAAAGCTGGTTTGAGCGTTGTTGTGAACTACTTTTTAGACCTTAACAAGCTTGAGAAAGATATTTAACACCGCAATTCCGCAATTACATTTTGTACCTGCTTGAAACATTGTTGTAACTCCACCTTGATAGTGGAGGTAAAAGGTAAAAAGAGTTAAATCCAACAGTACCCGATGGCAAGAGATCTGTAAATTGCTTCCAAGTCGTGTAAAAATATCTGTTCATTAATGTGTTTTTTTTCTTGCTACTTAATTTCTAAAATTTGTTTAGGAAAACTATGTGAAAACATCATCAACCAATGTGCACTGGAGCCATGTCTGAACGGAGGGACATGTGACGGAAACGAATTGGACTTCAAGTGCGCATGTCTAGTTGAGTGGACTGGAGACACATGCGCAGATAAAGTTAATTTCTGTGACAGTTCCCCTTGTAACATGGGCCAGTGTACACCGGATCTCTTGACAGCAACTCGGTTCAAGTGTGACTGTGATTTTCCTTGGGTAGGGGGGAGATGCAACCAAAGGGTTGGTGAGTGAGATAGTTTCTTCTATACACTCCCCTTAAATTCATGTATGTTTTTATCGTTCAAGTGTATTATAGTGTTTCAATTCTAATATATATAGTATGGAATTAATTTGTGAAATCAGTAAGTAACAACAGAAGATCATCTAACAATTAACAAAATAAACTACCGGGCAAAAGAAACGATTCTAAGTCGAAATCACTGATATTTCAAAACGACAAGCACGTCCTTTGTGAAAAAGGACAGTGACTTTAATAGCAGTTGTATGGACAACATGCACTCAGTCATGTAATTGGAGTAGAAACAACAACAAGTACATTGAATCACTGTATAAATGAAGGAATGAAGTGTCCAGTATTCGATCACAGATGTAAACAAACCAACACACGTGGTCAGTATCTGGTATGTCCACCGTGGGCATCAATGCAAGCCCTAACTACGATGTGTTGAGAACGTCAGACGCCGTATACCTTGGGCAGGGATCCTTCGCCATTCCTCTTGAAGAGCTAATCAAGCTGACGTCGGTTTCCAGGAACAAGGGCTCCAGCACGAATCTGACGATCCATATGGTCCCACAAGTGTTCAGTTGGTGACATGTCAAGTGACCTGGAGGGCCAAGGAGGCACATTGATGTTGTTTCTCTGTAGAAATGACAATACGTGCTGTATGAGGACCGGCGTTGTCCTGGAACATGATTCGGTTACGGCGTTGACGTAGGAATGGTAGTGCAACCGGACACAGAATTTGATCAAATGCATCGTTGAGAAGTGAGATTACTATCCACCACAACAAGATCTGTCTTCATATCGTAGCACATGCCGCCCCAAACCATGACACCAAACGCCACTTCCTGTACACAGCAACGTTGCACACGTTCTCCATGGTGTCTGTAGACACGAGCCCTGCCATCATTCCTGAACAGCTGGAACCTGCTTTCACCTTAGAACATCACTCTCTGCCACTGTCTGTTTTGCCACTAGCGAACCGTGTGTGCCCATCGCAGACCACGGTAGGGTCTGTAGGCGCGGATACCGTATTGTCTGAGTTGTCGTGCTTCTGTTCTTTAACTGATAGGATGTCCAAGCCCAGTCGCTGCTGATGACGTCACAGGTAAGAAATGGTTTCTCAGGTAGCGAGTCATCAGCCTCGTGATGGTTAGACGTGTACTGCCCAAGGTCGCTGCAACATGTGCATGAGTGGCACCCATCTGTGCCATTCCAATAGCTCTCTCTGGATTCCTGCGATAATCGAGGCATGGTCGCTGAAGTTGACTTAAAGATCTGATGTCGAGGAAGGTTTGTGTGCACTGTTATGCTCCAAAGATGCACGTGCTTCATGCAATCCGTTCACAGATTTTCGTGTTTCACGACCTGTTGCAGTGATACTGTTCGCCCAAACACAACATGTTTCATGACAGATGTTAGGGAAGCGTTGTGGTGATTGTTTTAAGCTCATAACTACCTACCAAATTTGATTTCGAGTCCAAATTATCAAATAAATTTTGGTATCGTTTCTTTTGCCTGTTTGTTTATTTTGAACGACATACGACGTTTACGTAATACAATACAGCAAAATTCGTGAGAAATACCTGGCAGCATCAAAATGAATCTATCAGACAATAATTAAGAAGTTACAGCAATCACTGATGTCCAGTATTTTTCGAACATTAACGTCTTGAATTAGGGGTCTCACACATTCCCTAGAAAGGGGCACATCACACAGGTACTTCAGCACAGCCGTCAGCTGCTGGGATGGTGTGTGACCACTCACACATCCAAGGGAGGTTACGGATAATATACGGTCGCCTAAATCACTTTGCCACTCACTGTCACAAGAATTTACGCTACAATATGCGAACAATGAAGACAACGGGCGATATCAATACAACTCAAAGGTGACATGTGTTTGATTTTCATTCTTGAGAAAACAGACTGGTTGCTGTATCCTGCCAGGGTACTAAGTCAGATGTATGCCGTGTGCTGTTTGTGTGACAAAAAATCTGTTGATGATGTGTGTGCGAGTGAGTTTAATTTTACGTCGCTTTTAGCTATATTTCAAAACTGTTTCGAACCCGTCTTCGGCGTGACGGGCGATCGAGGAAACCACTAGGCTACCCCACCACCCTTTTTGATCATGAACGTGAACACATTTCATTTGACAATTTAGCCAGTAAACATCTTGTAAAATATCATTTCATCCGTTCTTTTGGTCGTCAATTTGTGATTGTTTTATACATGAATTTCTATTTTATTTGCACTCAGATATATTCAACATCACACTCTTGGGTGAGATTGATCATACAAGTAGAGGTGACCTGGCTGATGGCTTCAACAGACTCATCACAGAACTGGGGGGAATTCCAGGAAAGGTGACTATCAAATTTACAACCAAGGCACAGAGAGAAAACAAGTAAGTCACAAGCAGAATGATGTTGACCAGTATAAGACCACATGACTCTACAATGACTTTGATATTTAAATCTCCCGTCGTGCAGTTAAGGTCAAAATCATTAACAAGTTTGTGTTTCGAGTACCTTTCAGTTATACTTCTACGCACGTACAACTCTACTCTGCTGTGGAAAACGGATCCTTTCTAGAAAATGATTCATTAGCTAGAATCTTCGAATCCAACCCTGATGAAATCATCAATGAATATCTGCCTCTTCCGTTGTACCCTCCCCGAAAAGAAGAGAAGGCAACCTTGGGGGTGACCCCCAAGGTGCCAACAGTGGTGGCCGATGTCTTATTACTGTTTGTGTAACAATGTAATAGCATTACTGGCTATAGTACGGTACCTGATATAACTTTTGTTGCCTTTGCATGTTTGTTGGATTTGTATTTGTGTAACGCTACATTCAGCAATATTCGGCGGTCTCTTGCCGTCGGGGCAGTGATGTATGCTGTCTGTATTAAGAGGAAGGTTGCTTGAAACTATTTTCTTACCCGTTACGCATGTTTATTGGATTGTTTTTGTCATTTGTGAACACGTCATTCAGCCATAGTCCAGCCATATGACGACAGTCTCAAGCTGTCGAGTCAGTGATGAACGTTGTCACGCTTGCCAAGAAGTAAAGGTTCCTTGGAGATAATGTTACTAAAATTAACCTTTAAAAGCACAGTGCAATCTTATTCTCGCGTATGTATGGTAAAACATACTTGGACGAGACGATTTCAGATTACTACAAGTCAATATGGGCGTGTTTCAGAGTCCACATGACGACGTTGACACAAACCAATATGTGTTGGCCATTCTACCTCCTGTAGGACTTGTCCTGATGTCTGTACTACTTCTGGTGGCTTCCTGCATCTGGAGAAGATCGTAAGTGGTACATGGCGAACTCATTAATTAAACATTCTACCTTGTATTGGGAGAGGTATCAAGGACGACAGCCACTCTGAAAAACGTACATTCTAGCAATCGGACTAAATACTTTTCCTCAAGGCATACATTATGACCCGACAACTTGAACGGGAATTGCTTTGAAATATACACACTGTTCGAGAAATGATTAAGAAAATACACACATGTACCTATAAACAGTTTCAGGTCGAAACAGTAAGCTGCTAAATCCAACTTCAGATATCTAGATGCTTAGTTGCAATATACTAGGAGTTTGTTTGGATATTTAGCCATTACGTCAACATTCATTATATTTCTATTTCCAGGAACAAGACGGAACAATGTAGAGACGACATTCAGCTCGACTCATTTGCGATGGACGTGGCATGCAACCCCCAACCATCAGGTGCAATGACAGGAAATCTCCAGGGGGCAAGCGTATCTCCTGATGGTTACACAAGTCTTCGCTTCCTAGGATCACCCGACACACAATGTGATGAGGCATCCAACGCCCTCCCAACAACTGAAACTGGGGCCTTTGAATCGGTGAGACCAAGCGGATATCCAGATGGCCACACACGTCTTGGTGACTTCGGAACACTCGATACACGCCGTCATGTTACGTCATACATCCAACCAGTCCCTGAAGACATGACCCTTGACCGGGGGAGTCTGGAGGAAGAGGAAGACAATGCAGAGTACACTGTCATCGATGACAACGAAGTGGAGGACATCTTACAGGAAGACCCATATGAAACGATAGAATCTGTCGATGACAAAGATGATGAGAACATCTCACAGGAAAAAACCTTATGAAAAGATAAATGTGTAGTTGCCTTGGAAGATGTATTAGTCAACCAATGAGAATAATGAAAAGAAAATGTATTTTGCTATATTTGCTGTAGGTAATGTAAGATGTTGATGGATGTCTGCTATAAGGACCGATTTGGGATCGGTATATCAACAGCAAACCAGTATTGTCAGAATAAGATCATAGTTTGCGCACAGGGTAACTGGGTTCAAATTCCAATATGAATACATGCTGTGTACATTATAGGTAGGATTTTGTACATGTGATCCTGTGATGGTTGGATGCCAAAGAGTAAATTCCAGGATCATATGTTGTGTAACCTGGAATTTGATAGCTTGTGTTGAATCTTTGTTGAATCCCCAGGGGCGGTGGGGTAGCCTAGTGGTCAAAGCGTTGGCTCGTCACGCCAAAGACCCGGTTTCGAATCCCCACATGGGTACAATCTGTGAAGCCCATTTCTGGTGTCCCCCGCCATGATGTTGCTGGAATATTGCTAAAAGCGGCGTAAAAACCAAACTCAGTAAGTCAGTCAGTCAGTTGAATCCCCACATGGGCACAATGTGTGAAGGCAATGAATGCTGTCCAACGACCTAGATATAAATGGGCAAGTTATAAGAATATCACCTAAATTACATAGATATGAATGTCAGATAATGTTTTCTTTACTGATACAGATGGACATGAAGACAAGTTTATAAATATGCATGATTACATTATGTACATATTGTATTAGCTTATGGAGGCTTGACGTTGCCATTGTAGATAAGCAGCCATTTCAATTTTGCAAATAAAATAATCTTGAAGCTATAAATATTCACTTTCATTCACGAGAATGGTTTCACTCCTCTTATCGACTGCTCTAGACAGGTTTTGGGTATAAAATTGGCACATGGGTGTGATGATAACATATCTGTTGGACGATCACGCCTGATGTGTTCAAATGGTTGCTGTGACGAGATGCTGGCGGGTGACGCCTTTAAAAAGGTCGAGCGTCCATATCGAAATTTTCATTTCACAGCCAACATCATTAATACAACCCCTATTGGCAATAGATGCACGAGGTTTTCGATGCATGCTACACATGAGTCAGCCGGTGCTTGTCCCAACTAGCAATGAGAGCAGGCCCGAATTCACAGAGAGTGATGGTTGCTTTTTTAATTTCACGTACACGTCTGCTAATGACATCAGGATTGAATGTTCGGGGCCACGGCATGGGTGAATCAGCGAGTTGGCTATCCATGTATTAGGATTAAGGCACTAGGAATAGGTGAGTGAGTGTGGGTTTTCGCCGCTTTTAGCAATATTCCACCAATTTCTCGGTGGGGGAAACCAGCATGTGGGGAAACCCATGTGGGGAATCGAACCCGGGATCTTCGGCGTGACGAGAGAACGCTTTAACGACACGGCAACCCCACCACCTCCATGGCATGAAATAGATGTCTTGCTTTCGGAAGATAATGCCACAATCATGACACGCTGGTCACGTGTGTTCTTATGTTGAAAGATAAAACATTGCCATAGTCGTTGTGAAAGTCTTACCACAAGAGTTGCCCCGATAGTATATATCTACTTACAAGACGGAGCGCGGTTTGACCAGTCAGTGTTATACGAACCCATACCATTATGAGCCCACTCCAACACGATGATACTGTACGACTTTGACGTCCAGAAGACGTTCAGTAGGACGTAATTAGCCTCGATTCATTCGGTCAAGGAAATGGAGAGTGAACCTCGATTTCTCAGAAGAATCACTGATCAGTCTTTGACAGTAGTGACATTTACCATACCACCGATGCCTCTGATTCCAATGATATGATGTGAGTTGCGGTATGACACCATGCACACTGATGCCATCCTTGCAGGCGAGTTTGCAGTGATGTACTCTAGCAACTGTTATCTGTTGCATGTGGTCCCTTATCTGAGGGGCATTTTGTACCGATTCCCTCAAGCCAACACTCTGCTTATGGCATATTGAGACACTCGTAGCAACAATATTCTGACGTCTGTCCACCTTCAACATGCCAGTGGCATGCCAGTAAACGTTCATCACGTTGCTAACGTCGCTTGATCAACAGTTACCTCCTCAGTTCTTAATTGTATATAATAAGATGTCCTTAAACATTGGGCTCTAAGAAAACAATACGCTCACAACCCAGTCGATCTGGCAGTATACCCCATGGCTTTCTGAGGTAACATGCTTTGTGACGGTATCAGTGTTGTGCTCGGGATATTGATGTATAAAGGAAAGTCCTTCACTGAAAAATCTCTTACTTTTATTTCTTGTTGAATGTCATTTGGGTTTTTCGCATAGCCTGTCTTAGTCATGAGGGCGCACACTAACATATTCTACTTCAAGTGGTAAATCTGACAGCACCCATTGCAGGTGCTGTCCGACGTCTCGTGCTGTATTATTGGGAGTGTCGTGTTTACAAGCTTCATTTGTTTGGAAATGTTCTGGACACATACATCATTTATTTTCATTGGACACATTGGTGTAGTTTCACATCAAAACAAAACAACCCATACGTTTTGGTGGAGCGTTTCTCATTCATTAAGACAAACATTGGCGCTATTTTCCTGCACCTCTATCGGGGCGGTGGGGTAGCCTAGTGGTTAAGGCGTTCGCTCGTCACGCAGAGGACCCGGGTTCGATAGTCTACATGAGATTGCTGGAATATTGTTAAAAGCGGCGTAAAACTAAACTCACTCACTCACTGCACCCCTATCCTTTAGATGAGGGGTGTACATTACCAACATCCCATATTCAATTGTTTACATAAAATTGATTGATGTTTAACAACTTTGTTGAACTTCACACTTCAACTGTTGTTCCGCAATCATAAAGGCACGCGTTAATATCTTTTTCTTCCGTATCTGTTACCCGTTGTTGATGATTCGTCATCATTCAATGATGTTAAAACTATATAAATGACGCTGAGTATTCACAAAGTGATTCGCGTTTTCATTTTATTTCCGCAGCACTGCAAATTAGAAACTAGAAACGAAACCTGAAACTCGCTTTGTGCCTCAAGCGTTAATAGGACGGTTACGGCCATTGGATAAACCAGACAGTTAAATAAGGCGTTTGCCATCCGATATGCATCAGCCACCAAGGACACAAGTGTAAGCGATACCAATGTGACGATGAAGACAAGGAAAAGACGTTTGTGTGTGACTGTACTTCTCTGGCTGTTGGCAATCAAGGTAGGCATGTAATACATCTCCTAAAATGGCCCAATGACCAGCTAACTCCATAGACTAATCAGAGGACATAAATCAGATATATCATAGCGTGAATATATTCTTCTTGTGAAACATTTGCTGATGTGCTAAGCCTGCAATAATCTGTTCAGCTGTACTTTTTGTTAGTGCAATTCTTTCAAGTTTTTTCTTTAACTGAGTTTATACAATAAATCAATTTGTGTAGCCTTAAAAGAAACGTATACAATATTCATACCTGGAGTTTCTTTCATTACACTTCTTCAAATATACGCAAGAAAGTTGTGTTCCAAAACTTGGTGTGAACTGATCCTACTCTTATAATCGCAGTGGTATTATCATATTGCATAAGTGCCAGTTTCACTGTTAATGAAGTGAGGTGAAATTGGGTTTAACGTCGTGCTTGAGAACATTTCGCTCATATGACGACGTGCATTCGTGTGTATGTGTATGTGCGGCTGCTTGTACTAGCCCAGACTTAAGCTGGTTTTATAGTGCTAGCCCACTGAGATACCATGCCACAGTGAAGCATGAATACCCCACTCAGACACATTATACAGACTCCGAGCCGACCAGTCCTTGTTGTACCCATTAATTCCGAGCGCCAGGCAGGGACCAACAAGTACCATATTTTAACGTCTTTTGGTATGACTCGGTCGGGATATTTTCTTTTATTTACAAATACAGATGGACATGAAGACCAGTTTATAAATATGCATGATTACATTATGTACATATTATATTAGCTTATGTAGGTTTGACTTTGATATTGTAGATTAGCAGCCATGCCAGTTTGCAAATAAAATAATCTTAAAGCTTTAAATACTCTCTGTCATTCACGAAAATGGTTTCACTCCACTTATCGACTGTTCTAGACAGGTTTTTGGTATATAACTGGCACATGGGTGTGATGGTAAGATATCTGTTCGGGAGTACATCTAGACGATCACGCCAAATGTGTTCAAATGATTGATGTGACGAGATGATGGCGCGTAAGGTCTTTAAAGAAGTCGGGGGTCCAATTTGAAATTTCCCGTTTTGGGAAGAAATGCACGAGGCCTTCGAGGCATGCTACACATGAATCAACCAGTGCTTGTCCCGACTAGCAATGAGAGCAGGCCCAAATTCAATGAGAGTGATGGGTGTTTTTTAATTTCACGTACACGTCTGCTAATGACATCATGACTGAGTGCTTGACATGGCATGAGCGAGTGAGTGAGTTTAGTTTTACGCCGCTTTTAGCAATATTCCACCAATTTCACGGCGGTGGACACCAGAAAAGGGCTCCACACATTGTAACCATGTGGGGAATAGAACCCTGGTCTTCGTTGTGATTAATGAGCAGTTTAACCACGCCCCCATGGCATGAAATGGATGGTTTGCTTTCGGACGATTCGGCCACAATCATGACATGCTGGTCACGTGTTTTCTTATGTTGATAAGTTGTTGAACATTGCCAGTATATAAACCCATACCAGAATGAACCCACCCCAACACAATGATGCTGTACGAAGTTGACGTCCAGAAAACGTTCAGTAAGACGCAATTAGACTCAATTCATTCGGTCAAGGAACGTCGATTTCTCAGAAGAAACAGTGTTCACTTTTTGCCAGTACTGACATTCACAACACCACACACGCCTCTGATTCAAAAGGACCGCCTCCGTGGTGTAGTGGTTAGAGCGTCCGCCCGGAGAGCGGAAGGTCGAGGGTTCGTTCCCCGACCGCGTCATACCAAAAGACGTTAAAATATGGTACTTGTTGGTCCTGCCTGGCGCTCGGCATTAATGGGTACAACAAGGACTGGTCGGCTCGGAGTCTGTATAATGTGTCTGAGTAGGGTATTCATGCTTCACTGCGGCATGGTACCTCAGTGAGCTAGCACTATAAAACCAGCTTAAGTCTGGGCTAGTACAAGCAGCCCCACATACACATACACACGCATGCACGTTGATCATATGAGCG